ATTGTGAGCTACCACCCGTGGGGGTGGGGGGAGCCTCCAAAGGGTCCTGGAAGGCACTCTCAGACCCTTCCGAGGCTCCCCCCACCCCAGTGGGCCCAGCAGGCTGAAATTGCCAGAATATTTTTTTCCTGTTTTCCTCCCCTAAAATACGGTAACGACTAAACAACAGCAGCAGCAACAAAAAATTAACACAGGTAAAATTTCCTTAACATTGGACTGAAGATATTAAGTTAGCTTAAATATATTGCTGATATTCTGTCCCATTAAGTAAAAAAGTAGCATATTGAAGTTATGACTAATTTCTAAGTTGTATATAGTGTAAGTGATAGTTTTCAGTTAGTTGGAGAGACTTATTTAACAAAAAAGGGGGTGGGGCGGACAGTGTCTTCTGATGCAACCTTTCTTTCCTCACAAAAACACTCTTTAGAAGAGGGGACTGCATAATTTTGGCCATTGTTGAGACCTAGCTATATAAGCATTTCTAAACAATCATATCTCATTTTTATTGTATCTTTTCTTCCAGTCTGCATGCAGTTGCAGGCTAGGCACCAGTTATAGTACAATATTGTGATTTGTGAATGTAATAAACTTGAGATGTGACGGTGACACAACTGTGATTTTCTGATGCTGACTTGTTTACAAGCATACAGTTCTAGAGATAAGCAGCCTGACAGATTTGTTTTTCATTTGCTTTGGAAGACTTCGTATGGAAATATTTGAATCTCCTTGGATATGGTAATGCTAAGAAAAAAGAGAAGTCTTAGATCCTGTTGACTGACCAATGAAATCTGTATGTTTGAACATAACAACCCTAGGCCATTTTCCAGCATTGGTGATTGTTTTTATAAGCCTCCTGAGCAAAGTCCAATTGGAAACAATGCTGACAGACCTCAGAAGATAATTGCCATGTTAGAAATGGGATCCTGCATTTATGTATCAACTGCAAAATCTTTTTCAGTGTGTAATATAGAATGCTAAGTGACAAACAAATCAATTCCTACCTCTGGCTTTCTCCCCTGACCTTTTCCCCAATGAATTTGATACACACCATGTCCTAAAAGATTATATTTGAATTGCAATGAACTAATATCTGAATCATGAAAAACACCAACTGTGAACAGGCATGCAATTTTGAACGAATTGCTTTAATCACTATTTGAGCCTTAATAGGTGGTGAAGATATCATTTGAAATTATTTCAGGCACATAATTTTTATTTAAAAATATCATCCTGATTGGCTACAGTCTTGTATATTTTTTCGTACCTTCCCTTTCTCAAATCTCCCTCTCCCATCCTTTGTCAGTGTTAAATTGTTAATCATAATAAGGCATTTACCATCACATTCATTATAGTTAATTCTAATCCTTATCTCTTTTTGACTAAGTTACCTTCAGACTCTCACTATTAAAACTAGACCTATATAACAGTAGACCGTGGTTATGGTTGGCAATGAAAGAAAGCAGAATTTGTGTGTGAGAGACAAACTTCTGGGATAAATGCCTGCTCCTGAGTTCTTAAACAGGGTTAACACTATGGATGGGGGAAATGCTCAATAAATTCTGCATCCCCATGAATTTAAGCTGTTTTGAGACAAGATACCTCAGTGAGAAATTTCAAAGCTGTAAGAAATTCTTTGGCTCCATCAGAGCATTGAGATGATGAGTTTTTCTTTTTTGCCAGGTCTCTCCCTAATTTACAGCAAAAGAGAGAGAAAACCTCATCATCTCAATGCTCTATTGGAGCCAAAGAATTACAGCTTTGAAATTCTGCTTTCTTGCTGATACACACATAGCAAGCACAGAAGAACTGGTTATTGAGAAAGAGGCAATCAGCCCGTCCCTGCTGGAAATTCTAAAAATATAAGTGAACACAGTTTGGCCCCTCCACTTCAACCTCCCTGCCAAGAGAATACAGTGGTGCCTCAACTTACGAACTTAATTGGTTCCAGAACATGGGCATAAGTCGAAATGATCGTAAGTCGAAGCACCATTTCCCATTGAAATGCATTGAAATGCAATTAATCCATTCCGGACGAAGGAAAAAACCACACAAACACATACAAAAATCACTGTAAGACTCATTGGAAATGTGATTAATCCCTTCCAGTTAAGGGGTGGGGGAAGAGAAAAGCAGTCAAGCGTGCAAGACCCATCAGAAATGCACAGAAAACAAATGGAGCAGATCAGAAATACACAGATAATAAAGGGGGCAAGTCGGAAATGCACAGAGAATAAAGGGACCAGGATGGAAATGCACAGAGAACAAAGGGAGCAGTTCAGAAATGCACAGGAAAGGAGCAGTTCAGAAATGCAGAGAGAACAAAGGAAAAAGCAAGGGAAGCATTCAAGACCTATTGGAAATGGGGAAAAAAACCAAAAAGCAACCAACCCCCCAAGACCTATTGGAAATGGGGGGAAAATACTCCAAAAAGCAACCAAAACCAATTGTAAATGGGGGGATCAAAAAAAACAAACCCCCCAAGACCCATTGGAAATGGGGGGAACAAAAAAACCCAAACCCCCCAAAGACCCTTCACAGCACAGAAACATAACCCCCCAGCCCAAAACCATGCTGCAAAAACGCCCAGAACAGATTTAAAGAAGCAGGAAACAGCACCTTACCTTTCCAGGCACTCCGAAGCCTCCGCCAATCACACACTCTCTAACTTCTGGTGCAAAAGAGTTAAAGAAGCAGCCTTGACACCACCTATAGTTAGAAAATTGAATTTCCTGCCTTTTTCCTCTGCCTTTTTCTGTTCGTAATTGGAAGCTC